TTCTGTGGGCAGAGTTAGGTTTTTCTGCTTTTTTCCTACCCCTAAAAACAGACTAAATGATGCCATTTTGATCTGGTAGCTTTGCAAGGGACCTTATCACAAACATAGATAAGCCTCATGGGCTCTTGGTACATCAGGTCCTGTAAACCTTGCCTTGAACCACTAAACTAGCACTGTCTGTTATTGGGTTCCCCTTGTCTTCCTGACCCAGAATAGCCTGAATACACCACTTGACTTGATTCAAGCCTTTTGGCAATGATTATAATTTTTTTTTAAGATTTTATTTATTTATTAATAGAGACACAGAGAGAGAGAGGCAGAGACACAGGCAGAGGAAGAAACAGGCTCCATGCAGGGAGCCCGATGCGGGACTCGATCCCAGGTCTCCTGGATCACACCCTGGGCTGAAGGCGGCACTAAACCGCTGTGCCACCAGGGCTGCCCTATAAATGATTATAATTATGTTTCTCAGATAATGACTTCTTTGCCTAAGTGAGGTTACCGGTCATTGAGGTTCTGTCATCCTTCCCCTGAACAGATCCAGCCTATAGATATTTCCTTCCTGAGACAGACTCACTCTGCCTCGTTTATTCTTTTGGTATATGACGTAAAGGAGTAGTTTTGGTTTTGGTGTTTGGAGAGAAAAGAGAAATGTGTGTTTGATCGTTTTTCTATATGTTTTAGTTCATCTGTAGCCTAGGGCTACAGATCTACAGATTTTCATTTCTGCCATCTGACTCTTGCTTTCTAAGAAAGCATATGAGTAGGAGTTTGGCCAGGATTATTAGTAAAACTTTAGTATTTTGGACCCAATCAGTAGATGTGGGTATAATTTGCAAAGATCAATAGGAAGGAATGTGACTGAATCATTCAGCAGTGAATTTAAATCATTCTCAAAATTGATATTTTAAGCCTAGTTCATCAGGTGGCATATGCTTACCCAAACGCTACTTATTTTCAGTTTTTAATAAAATACTTGAAAATGTTAACTCTGTTATTAATAGGTCATTGAGCTTTGCCCCACATCCTTTAATGGTTCAATGTTTGGTTCATTCTTTCGTTCTTCTTTTCTTAGACAGAGAGGGAGTGGGGGAGGGGCAGAGTGAGGTTGAGAACCTTGAGCAGGCTCTGCACAGTGCACAAGCCTGCTTGGGATTCTCTTCCTCTGCCCCTCCTCCCACACCTGTCTCCTTGTCTCCCCCCCCCCCTTCTCTTAACAACAACAACAACAAAAAAAAAAACTGCGTTTGACTCTCTTCAAACTATGTGCCCATTTTTGTTTCTGATTAATGAAACCAAGCATCTTTTAGAATAACTATGTTTTCCTAGCAAACTGGTACTCTTCCTACTAGACCTAATTCACAAGTGTAATTACTTGGTTTAAAGCCCTCCATCTTTTCTCTTGTTCTTCCTCTTCTGTGTCCCACTGCCCGGTGGGTCTACGTAAGATTTTTGGTTGCAAAGAACATGAGCCAAAGCTTAAGCAGAAGTGGTCAGGTCCTGAGTCCTCTTCAGCATCGCCCTCAGCCTTGTTTGGGGTATACATCCAGTGTCTGTAGAGGTGGAATACTCTAATTGGTGGGCCTGAGTCTCACATCCTCTGCTCTAGTGAAAGAAAGACCTCCTAATAACACATCGTTTGCACCAATGATGGCTCCAAGAGGCAGTTTGGCAGGCAAAAAACATCCATCTTTATTCCATTGTGCTCTGGGTCCTGTCCCTTAGACATGATGGACTGTTGGAGGAAAGAACTGTGTCCTATTCATCAGCACACTGACAAAGTATAGGTTCTCCAAAAATGACTGAATAGGTGAACAGTGGTTCCATCCTATTAAATTGGGTATTCTCCCCCTTATTTTGCCATGAGCTGAAAGGTCTATAGTTTGGCTGAAGGGAGCTCTCCTTGGGATATTGGGATAGGGGTGCTGACCTAGTGAAAATGGCCATCCTGATAGCCAAGGAGGCTCGGAAAAAGGACTAGTCACCTGGGGACAAATCTGGAGAGAAAGTAAGCCCATCTCTAGACAATTTTTGATGTTCTTGTTGAGGCATCTTCCTCCCTAAGAGTAATTATTGTAAATATTTTGTTTTTAGCTCATTCTCTTCAAAAGGAAACAGTCCTTAATCCATCCTAGACGGTTGATTTCCTATTTACTCTGTTCCTGTACCACAGTTAGTCACTTAGAGTTTGGGCCCCTTGTGTAGGTTTCTCATTCAAAGGATTTTTGAGGGGTGCAGAGGAGGCCAGGAGTAATTCTTGTAAAAGTTTTTAAGTATAAATCAAATAGATAACATTGATGAACCCTGAAGCCACCTATTGATACGAAGTTGTTTCTTAATAGCAACAATAAACAACAACAGGAGGTCCTTGAGTTCTTTAATCTTGTTATCCATGATAATCCTAACATTCACAGAATCTTTTGGAGATGTTGTTTCAAGGAATCTTTGGCTTGTTGCAGACCTAGAAAAGCTTGACATTGTCACAGTGGCCCCTTTTAGAAGGGGAGCTCCATGGCTGGAGGATAGGAGTGGGAGGGAGCCTTCTTTGCTTATATTCTTACACTGTGTGCCTGTTTTGTAAAGAATGCTTTACTTAAAAAAAAAACAAGAGTCTTTGTAAATGCTTTTGATGATGCTAACACATATGAATGAATGTGTTATTCTAGCTCCAGATGGACAAAATCTTGTTAAGTGACCTCCATAAGCAATACATAGAGGATACCTCCATCTGGGAAGGAGGGCAGATAGAATTTCCCAAATTCATTTCCAATACCAGTAATCTTAACTCAGAGTATTCTACATCTTTCAGTATAAACTTTAACTTAGGTTCCTCCTATTGCCAATCACAAAAAAAAAAAAAAAAATTGTACAGCATTTTCTGCTATTCACTATTTATATGTCTGTTTAATTCAGCCTAAGTAAACTTGAGATTTACCCTATGGCTGAAATACCACGTTTTATAAATTACAAGTTTCTTGTAACTGAGCTCCTTTATGAGCATACTCACTTTTTCAGAACTGCAGGTGTATAAATTGGGTACCTACCATGCAGTGAGGTGCTTCAGCTGGAGGTCTTAAAACAGCTTGGTTAGCCATGAGTGGTGGGCACTTAACAATGCGTGATGTATTGTTCGTTAGGAGAATGCGTTTTCCTTTATCCTCAGCTGCAGTTTAACTCCCCGGGTGTTTTCTGTATAGACTGGTAGCTTCAGTGGTGGTGACATTTCCAAATCATTGTGTATTTGTTTTTGCTGAGATGTTGAGCTGCTTATACCCAGGAGGCGGGGAAAACGAGTAATGGCTGCCTTCTGGGCTCATCTCTCCTCAGAAGTGAAGGACAGACTTGGGAAGTTCCAAAAGAAATGCTGGACTTGGGCCCACAGAGAGTTTATGAAATAAATGAATGGAGAAACAAGATGTCTCTTCTCAGATTTGGGCGTTTGTGGGCATCTGTTTTGATGCCTGGTCTCAGAATTAGCCTGTAACTTTTTCTGTATTTCTGAAACATTGATATCAGGTGGTTCTCTCTAAATGACCTGGTTGTGGGAATAGTTTTATTAAGCAATTGATTAAAAATTTTCAAAAAGATGGTTTAGAACAATTTAGCAATAGAATTTCCACAAGAAGTAATGGATTTAGCTTTGAATTGCATATTAATTTGTAACCAAAGTGACTTCTGAGTCCACTATTAAGTAATATGCAGATTGCTGGATGGCAGAGTGTGTGGAGGACACACAGTCGTGCTTCTTAGCTGCTGAGGATGGGAAAGCTGATCAATGTTTTTTAGTGAAATGTGTTTCTTTTTTGGCTTCAGTTATACTTTGTACTTCATGTAGAGTATTTTGAAACTTCTAAGTTCTGATGACATACCGAAATTCAGAATTTGTAGGAGTTGTTTGTTTGGGTAGGCTTCACTCTTTTCCATTTTTCATAGTTAATATTGATTTTTGGATTAGAATAATAAATGAGGTAACATGATACTGTATTACATTTGGATTAGTTGATTATGGTTGTACTTACAAATGGTAGTGGTGTTATAGAGTAACAGCCTTTATTAATTAGAACACCAGATTTGCATGTATTAAACTTTAATTTCTGTTGCTTTGGCTTTTGGGTTTGCCTCTGGTTTTGGTTTTTGGAACTATTTTATATCCTACAAAATTATTTGGATTATTACATTGATGATAAATTCTTACCATATTTTATAGGAAACATTTATGGTCACATGGAAGCCATACAAATAACTAATTTTATTTTAACTTTTGTTTTTTAAGGAACTTGGGGAAGTGGATCTAAATTTCTGCTTTAATGTATTAGGTCATTTAAATAATTTTTCAGTCCCTTCACACATACATATAAGCTTTTCATTTTTCAAGAGGATCCCCTAAAGTCTGTAACACAGTTATCATCTGCCCTGATGCTGAGTACCTTTGTCCAGGTGTGGTGCTGGCTGGGGGGTGAGCTGCACAACCATTGAGACCATTAGTGTCTTTAGTTTAGATAGTATTTGGAAGCATTGAAAGATATTTAAGAATGTTATAGCAATGTGCAGGACAGTTCCCAGAAAACAAAAACTTCTTTTCCCTGGCACTCAAAATTATATGGTAATGATGCTGAAACGGTGAAAATTTTTCTGTTTTCAGAGGCTCAACATCACAAGGAGAAAAGCACTCACACTTGATTTTTAAGATAATCGGTTGGTATTTTTAACCTAATTCTCAACTTTAAAAAAAAAAAGATGATGAACTTAAATTCTAATTAGAAATGTGCCAGATTAGACTCATAGTTGATCTATAACATAAAATGTCCTGTTAAAAATAGAAAAGATCAGAGAGCACTTACTTTGCCTGCCTGCTTTAAGTAATCAGAACATATTAGATAAGGATATCTACTCACCTTCTTTGTCAGCGGGCCAAGGTTTGTGGTCCTACCATCAGTGGAACTAGGAAATATTACAAGTTGTACGTGTTTTGACTTGACTTAAATTTTTTTTTCCAATAGAAACTATGTTCCAACTTCCTGTCAACAATCTTGGCAGTTTAAGAAAAGCCCGGAAAACTGTGAAAAAAATACTTAGTGACATTGGGTTGGAATACTGTAAAGAACACATAGAAGTAAGTAGCATGCCATTTTTTAATTTTAACATGACTCAGCTTCTGATCCATTACTTTGTGTCAGCAGTCGGGATGGTTAATTCTTAGTTGTGATTCTGAATTGTAACTGCAGCATTAGCTTCACCAGAGCTTTCTCAGTTGGCTTTAACTTGTTTCCTTCTCCCTAAAATGGGCTTTTTCATCTTTGCATCATGAAGCAAAAGCAGTTTCACTGGTGAGGATGTGTAACTAGGTGCTTTAAAATTGTTTCTAAATTCAGATCTTTAGAACAACCCCTGGGGGGAGATATAGGAATTCTTATCTCCAATTTACAATGAAGAACTGGTAAAGATAGAGGTCCACCTCACAGCTGAGCTTATGGCAGGGTCTGTCTGCAGGAGTCCAGAGCCTGTTCTCATTCTGATGTGCCTGAGTGTTCTGGTTCACCTTCTGATTGTTGAGGCATGGTAGTTTGGGTGCTTGTTGTCTCTTTCCTTAGGATTTGAGCATTTTGTTGGCCCTTTTGACCCATCATACATATTATCTTCCCCTTGTGTAACAGTTTGGACTTTTGCAAACTGTTTTTCTAACTTTTTTTTCTATGAGCTTTTTAACAGCCCTGTGGGATAGCCAATGTACTAGTCTCCTCCTTTTCCAGATCTCATTGCTCCAGGTCTTGTGGTTTAGTTGGTCAAAGCCTCCGGTTGAAATATTTAAAGCTGTTTTCCCCACTAGCCTTTAAGTTACAACTGGCCAGGGACCATAACCATACTTGTCCATCCATGTATAACCAGCACCTTGTACAGTGCTGGGTACATAATAGGCATTCATGAAATGTTTGGATGGAATTGAAAGTTAAAAAAGCAATTTCCTTCATGTAACAGGTTTTCTGTTCCTGATTCCCATGAATAATACTGGGGGGTGGGGGGGTATATCGTGAAGACTGAAGCTTCTCAAAAGTGGGCTTCTCTAGTTTTGTTGTCCCCAGTGTGGAAGTCCAGCCCCTCAAATTCAGGTGGATCTACCCATTGAAACAGTCCATCCACTTCCACTTTGCACTCAGTGGAGTAATCCGCACAAGAATAAATAATGCAAATGATAAGGTATCTTTTCTATCCTGCATTTGATGTGTTCCTCCCATTACACCCTCTGGAATTTATAAATACTTGATTTTCCCACACTGAACTGTGAACCTTTTAGAAGCCAAGGGGAATTTTCTCCTAAGACTTTGTATCTTCCTGGCCTGGAGAAAAACAGACCATAAAATTTTTACATAAGTATAAATTTAACATAATACTACTGAACTCTCTTCAAATAGCCTTCTTTCTTCCTTTTGTGGGCTCAGAAATCCCAAGTTTTCTTCCCCGTCCATTTCTACCCCCTTTTCCCCTGAGAAACAGAATATCATCACATCCATGCTGCTCTGAGCAAATGTTGCTAGCTTATACTCCATTCTAATACTACAACTGATGAGTTACAACACTCTAATGAAAGGAGCTTTGGTATTAATATGTGGCTGAATTTTTTTTTACTTAATTAGAACTTCCAGTGGTTTCCTTGGAAACCTGGCTGACCATTAGGGGAATGTTTGGTTGTTAGAAAATGTCGAGTGCGACTTCCATATGCCTTTTTGTATTTCCTAAGAGCCTTATCATCCTAGTTTAGTTCTTGCTGGGGTCGGTTTTTCTGTCTCCCCAGCTATAGCTGAGAGATGGGATTTATAAGTAAGATTGGGCTAGAGTTGATATCACTGTGTTTTTGTAAACTTCTTTCACTGTTTTCTAGGATTTTAAACAGTTTGAACCTAATGACTTTTATTTGAAAAACACTACATGGGAGGATGTAGGACTATGGGACCCTTCACTTACAAAAAATCAGGTAAGTAGCACCAAGGACTTCCCCAAATGGCAACATCCTTGGTGCACTGCACTCCCTTTTTAGCTCTAAGCCTTACATAGTGATGCATTGATTTGTGGGCAGCAGCCTAGTATGGAAAATGTCAAAATTATTTCATATTTTCCTAAGTGGCAGGGAAAACTGGGAAGAATTTGTCTTTTTTGTCGTTGGACCAGAACTTTAAGTCTAAAACAAACAGGAAATTTTGTTACTTAAATGTTCTAAGGTCCTACTGTATATCAACACTATGTCAGCAGTACTTTGGCTCTTCTATTTCTAAAATGTCCCCTCCAACATTCTGTTCATCCAAGCCATCCATCATTTTTTTGTGTGTCACAGTTTGTGTTATTTCTGGAGAGGGTGTTTTTTTCTGTGTTGGTGTCATCCAACCTCTCTGGGGCAGGGGCTCTGGGGTTGCTAAGCCAGCACATAGGGAAGGGGATGGGTACCTTTGTCTGATAGAGGTGTAACTTAAGTTTTTACAATTTGGGATTAAAAACACTGTTAGGTAGTCCAAGGCACCAGTGATAGCAAGTGTCAGCAGGTGAAGATGTGACAGAAAAAAAGGTGGTACAGGTGGGATTTCTTGTTCCATAGGGAGAAATGATTGTCACTGCAGACTTTACCATTACCTAGTTCTGTAGTGGTTGTAGTTCTATAGTTATTGATATGTTTATTGGAATATACCAAGGCAGGGATTTTAAACTTTTAAACTCTGCCTCAGACATTTGAGAGTATAGGGCAGCCCTGGTGGCTCAGCAGTTTGGCACCACTTTCGGCCCAGGTTGTGATCCTGGAGGCCTGGGATCGAGTCCCACGTCGGGCTCCCTACATGGAGCCTGCCTCTCCCTCTGCTTGTGTCTCTGCCTCTCTCTGTGTGTGTCTCTCATGAATAAATAATAAAATCTTAAAAAAAAAAAAAAGAAATTTGAGTATAGTTTTGTGGTTTTTTTCCTGTCTGTGCCCCAGAAAAAATTACATTAACCAGAAGTCTTCAAATGTAAAGGCTTTCCAGTGGGATGTGTCACTTAATTCGGTTTTATGAATCCCAAAGTTTCACATTCTAACACTAAATAAGGATTGAGCTTTAAGGAGACGTGGAGTATTTTACTTTGCGTCAAGCCAGTTATCTGAAGCAAAGTAGGTTTCTAGGAAGGAAGGATAATCTCTTGCCCAGCTTGTGTTTCACCAGTCTTCAAAGGACAAACTGTACAAGTGCTAATGAGCATAATTTTGGAAGTTACTCTTTGATATCAGTATATTCTGCAATACTTTATTGGCTTTTTAACACCACGCACTCCTTATAGTCTATAGGAAATTTTTATTATAACTTCTTAATTTGAATCAAAGCAGCTATCACTTCATTAGTTCTTTTGAAGCTGCTCTTACTTGAGAAGAGAGAGCATGGCTTATAAAAGAAAGCCGACTTTTCAAATCAGTAGCTTTTTGATTAGTAATGAAATCTAAATACTACACTGTACTTCGATCAGAGGGAAAAAGTGTTTTGAGATTTTTGAAGATTTTGCATGATGGAAAGGATAAAAGGTGCATCTTGGTACCTTACTGCCTAATTGCACTACAGCCTTCTGGGCCCTGAGTTTTACTGAATAGTAAATATGAAACCTTTAGCAACTTACTGTTTCATGGAGTGAGATTGATTTCACAGTGTTGATTCTTGTTGTTTCTAACTGTAAAATGTTTATCTTTGAAACCATTTGTCTTCGGCTTCTCTAAAACCAATCAGCAAACGTGACCTTGATCTTTTCTAAACACTGAGGGGAAACTTAGAGTTGAGTTTTTTATTTATACTCTGGAACCGAAACAGCTTTCTCATTTGGGTTTATATTTTATAAATTAATTTTACAAAAGGAAAAAAATTAGATCAATGCATTCCAGGTTTGTTCTAAAAATAGCATTCTATCTCTATTAAAAATAGAGAACATCTGGGGAATAAAATCTAGAACCTGTTACTACCTATCTTAAATTGCATTCTAATGACAGTTTTTGTCTTTTCTTTAGGACTACCGGACGAAACCTTTTTGCTGCAGTGCTTGTCCATTTTCTTCAAAATTCTTCTCTGCCTACAAAAGTCATTTCCGGAATGTCCATAGTGAAGACTTTGAAAATAGGATTCTCCTTAATTGCCCCTACTGTACCTTCAATGCAGACAAAAAGACTTTGGAAACACACATTAAAATATTTCACGCTCCAAACGCCAGCGCACCAAGTAGCAGCCTCAGCACTTTCAAAGATAAAAGCAAAAATGATGGCCTTAAACCTAAGCAGGCTGACAGTGTAGAACAAGCTGTTTATTACTGTAAGAAGTGCACTTACCGAGATCCTCTTTATGAAATCGTTAGGAAGCACATTTACAGGGAACATTTTCAGCACGTGGCAGCGCCTTACATAGCAAAGGCAGGTGAGAAGTCGCTCAACGGTGCAGTCCCTTTAGGTTCAAATGCCCGGGAAGAGAGTAGTATTCACTGCAAGAGATGCCTTTTCATGCCAAAGTCCTATGAAGCTTTGGTACAACATGTCATCGAAGACCACGAACGCATAGGCTATCAGGTCACTGCCATGATTGGGCACACAAATGTGGTGGTTCCCCGATCCAAACCCTTGATGCTAATTGCTCCCAAACCTCAAGATAAGAAGGGCATGGGACTCCAATCAAGAATTGGTTCCCTTGCTTCTGGAAATGTCCGGTCTTTGCCATCACAGCAGATGGTAAATCGACTCTCAATACCAAAGCCTAACTTAAATTCTACAGGAGTCAACATGATGTCCAATGTTCACCTACAGCAGAATAACTATGGAGTCAAATCTGTAGGCCAGGGCTATGGCGTTGGTCAGTCAATGAGACTGGGGCTAGGTGGCAACGCACCAGTTTCCATCCCTCAGCAGTCTCAATCTGTGAAGCAGTTACTTCCAAGTGGAAATGGAAGATCTTACGGGCTTGGGTCAGACCAAAGGTCCCAGGCACCAGCAAGATACTCCCTGCAGTCTGCTAATGCCTCTTCTCTCTCATCAGGCCAGTTAAAGTCTCCCTCCCTCTCCCAGTCACAGGCATCCAGAGTATTAGGTCAGTCCAGTTCCAAACCTACTGCAGCTGCCACGGGCCCTCCCCCAGCCAATACTTCCTCAACTCAAAAGTGGAAAATATGTACAATCTGTAATGAGCTTTTTCCTGAAAATGTGTATAGTGTGCACTTCGAAAAAGAACATAAAGCTGAGAAAGTCCCAGCAGTAGCCAACTACATTATGAAAATACACAATTTTACTAGCAAATGCCTCTACTGTAATCGTTATTTGCCCACAGATACCCTGCTCAACCATATGTTAATTCATGGTCTGTCTTGTCCATACTGCCGCTCAACTTTCAATGATGTGGAAAAGATGGCGGCACACATGCGGATGGTTCACATTGATGAAGAGATGGGACCTAAAACAGATTCTACTTTGAGTTTTGATTTGACATTGCAGCAGGGTAGTCACACTAATATCCATCTCCTTGTAACAACATACAACCTAAGGGATGCCCCAGCTGAATCTGTTGCTTACCATGCCCAAAATAACCCTCCGGTCCCTCCAAAGCCACAGCCAAAAGTTCAGGAAAAGGCAGATATCCCTGTTAAAAGTTCACCTCAAGCTGCAGTGCCCTATAAAAAAGATGTTGGGAAAACCCTTTGCCCTCTTTGCTTTTCAATCCTAAAAGGACCCATATCTGATGCACTTGCACATCACCTACGAGAGAGGCACCAAGTTATTCAGACGGTTCATCCCGTGGAAAAAAAGCTCACCTACAAATGCATCCATTGCCTTGGTGTATACACCAGCAACATGACCGCCTCGACTATCACTCTGCATCTAGTTCACTGCAGGGGTGTTGGAAAGACCCAGAATGGCCAGGATAAGACAAATGCACCCTCTCGGCTTAATCAGTCACCGGGCCTGGCACCTGTCAAGCGCACTTATGAGCAAGTGGAATTTCCCTTGCTGAAAAAGCGAAAGTTAGACGATGATAGCGATTCACCCAGCTTCTTTGAAGAGAAGCCTGAGGAGCCTGTTGTTTTAGCTTTAGACCCCAAGGGTCATGAAGATGATTCCTATGAAGCCAGGAAAAGCTTCCTAACAAAGTATTTCAACAAACAACCCTATCCCACCAGGAGAGAAATTGAGAAGCTAGCTGCCAGTTTGTGGTTGTGGAAGAGTGATATTGCTTCCCATTTTAGTAACAAGAGGAAGAAGTGTGTCCGAGACTGTGAAAAGTATAAGCCCGGTGTGTTACTGGGCTTCAACATGAAAGAACTCAATAAAGTTAAGCACGAGATGGATTTTGATGCTGAGTGGCTGTTTGAGAATCATGACGAGAAGGATTCCAGAGTCAATGCTAGTAAAACTGCCGACAAAAAGCTCAGCCTTGGGAAGGAAGAGGACAGCTCCTCAGACAGTTTTGAAAATTTGGAAGAAGAATCCAATGGAAGTGGTAGCCCTTTTGACCCTGTGTTTGAAGTTGAGCCTAAAATCCCTAATGATAACCCAGAGGAACACCTACCGAAGGTCATTTCTGAGGATGCTTTAGAATCTGAGGAGAAGCTAGACCAAAAAGAGGAGGATGGTTCAAAATATGAAACTATTCATTTGACTGAAGAACCAACCAAACTAATGCACGATGCTTCTGACAGTGAGGTTGACCAAGACGATGTTGTTGAGTGGAAAGATGGTGCTTCTCCATCCGAGAGTGGCCCTGGTTCCCAACAGGTGTCAGACTTTGAGGACAACACATGTGAAATGAAAGCAGGAACCTGGTCTGATGAGTCTTCCCAGAGTGAAGATGCAAGAAGCAGTAAGCCAGCTGCCAAAAAAAAGGCTACCATGCAAGGTGACAGAGAGCAGTTGAAGTGGAAGAATAGTTCCTATGGAAAAGTTGAAGGGTTTTGGTCCAAGGACCAGTCACAGTGGAAGAACGCATCTGAAAGTGATGAGCGCTTATCCAACCCACAGATTGAGTGGCAGAGTAGCACAATGGACAGTGAGGACGGGGAGCAGTTTGACAGCATGACTGACGGGGTCGCTGAGCCCATGCATGGCAGCCTGACCGGAGTGAAACTGAGCAGCCAGCAGGCTTAAGTGCCAGCTCCTCTGGCCTCTGGGACTCGGCGCCCCCTGCGGCGGGACTGCAAAGCTCTGTTCTAACTGGTACTGCCTCGAGCACTGCCTCATTGGGCTGTGGGGAGGTGTGGCCGCTGCTAACCCCAGTGGTTATTTCTGAGTCTATGACACATGATTGGCTGATCTCACTTCAGAACTTGCTGTGACAGAGTAAATAAATGTGAAAAACCAATAAGCTGGTGGCTCACGAACGCACATGAGGAAAAGCAAAGGTTTATTTTATCTGCCTTCTCAACATTTCTTTCCCTCTGTAAAATGTTTGGTGGGATGTTCTTGGGAGGCGTTATCCTGATTCACATGGTAGTATAGGGCCAACATACAAGCTACCAGTCCAATGTGTATAGTAGACTTTGGGGGAAATCAATTTTTTTTCATGTATTCATTCTGAATAGTTGAAATGTATATTTGTACAGTCTTTTAGACCTATTCAAGTGATGCCTATGATATTGTTATTGTGTACCCATCCTAGATTTGTTTCTTTTTTTAGTGTTGCCCTTGCTGTGTAATAAACGCTATATCTAGTTTACCTAGCAAAAGCTTGAAACTGCGCTAGTATGGACTTTTGGACAGACTTAGTTTTTGCACATAACCTTGTACAATCTTGCAACAGAGGCCAGCCACATAAGATATATATCTGGACTCTCTTGTATCATAGAATTTTTCTTGTTCTGAATATCCTTGACATTACAGCTGACAGAAACAAAAACTGGTATTTCAGATCTGTTTTCTGAAATCTTTTAAGCTAAAAATCACATGCAAGAATTGACTTTGCAGCTACTAATTTTGACACCTTTTAGACCTGTATGAAAGTGTGTTGTGTTGAAGCAGCAAACCAATGAGTGCTGCATTTTGAATATTTAGTTTTATCTTTAGTTAAACACCACCCGGTGTATTCATTTATACCATCTAATATATGACACACTGTTGTAGTATGTATAATTTTGTGATCTTTATTTCCCTTTGTATTCATTTTAAGCATCTAAATAAATTGCTGTATTGTGCTTAATGTAAATATTTGCTTTATTACACATTACAGTCCTATGTGTCCATTAGGTCTTGTGCCAGCAGATGCCATGGCTCACTTTCAGCAGAGGCGGAAGCCACGGCCACCAAGGAAACTTACAGAGAAGACAAGCAAGATGTGCCATTGGCATTAAGAATGCTTTCTCTCAAGGCACCTGTTACAAAGTCTTTTGGTTTTGTTTTGTCTTTTTCCTTTTTAACTGCAAAAATAAACATCCTTGAGTTTTTCAGTTCCCCTTTTGTTAAGGAGTGGAGCCTGCTTATATATGTAAATGTGTCAATGATAAAAGGATGTAAACAAATTGGCATTAATTTGCAAGCAGAATATTAATGCCCTGGCGTTCTTTCTTCTAAAGGAAGTAAATGTTAGTTTTCACCTTATAACGGGCACAGTTGTACTAAACAGGCAACTACTCTCTGCTTTTGTTGTAATTCTCTTGACCATCTTGCCATTAAAAAGGCTTTGGAGATCACACACTTTAAAGGGCTGTTACGATGGAAGGAGCTAGAATATTTACTACCTGGGTTCCCAAGAGCAGCTCAGACTAAAGATTGGAAGGGTACAAGGAGGCAGTATTAAGCCCCATTTTTTCTTAGTTACAAAACCCATGGACACCTCCAATCCATGCAGAGGGCAGAAGCCTAGCAAACACTTCTCGGGGACATGGGTCTAAATAAAGAGTTCTTAAGTGGCTGGCTTCCATAATTTCTAAGACTCCTTCCAAAAGACAGCTATAACAACATTAACAAGACCAAAGAAAGTTGACCGACCTCCTCCTAAAATGTTAATGTCCTGCTTCTCAAAAACTACAGGAGAAAGTACAATAGCCCAGAACCTTTAGGGCAGTCGGGGGCTAGCATGGAGTTATTTTAAGTCTGTTCTACAAGAGATTATAAATTCTATAGACAACAAGCTAATGATATTTAAGACAGGGTGTCCACAACTAAGATGCCACAGATTATCAAATCAGAAGAACTGGCACTGAGAAAGCTGGTCTCTTAAAAGATAGTAATAGCAGCTGACTTGAAGCCCTCTCCACCCCTGGTTTCAAATAGTCTGCCTAACAAATGAACAGGGAAGGACGAAGCCTGGGTTTGTGAGGCCTACGTGAAGTTCTAAAGAGACGCATAGAATAGGGGAGGGAATAAGTTCCTGGTTGGACACTTGAGCAGGGACAGATGAACATGCTTCCTCACTAAGGTGGTGGGAACGGGCATTCTTGATACTCAAAAAAGAATTTAGCTACCTAAGAATTGGAAATAAAGAAGATCCCCAACTAACGATGTTGCAGAAGCCCTAAAAGTGTTTCAATAAAAGCCATTTTAAAAGAATGTTGTTGCTACTGTTTGCTTTTGGAAAAATCTGGAAATAAAAGCCGTGGCAATCTGCCACCTTCTAATTAGGGAATGTAACTGTAGACTGAACAATTCTGTAAATTTTCTTCCCAGGGAACTTTATGTCCTGATTTTCTTGTGGCCCTGAGTTTCGGAGTCAGCCTGACTAGCAGCATGATTTCTCTCCCTTTTCAGCACATTGAGGCACTTCTCCCATCGTTGGTCTCCATCAAATAGCTCTTTGTCCTCTCAAGGTGTAAGCAGAAAAGGATCTACCCCTTTGATTGCCCCATAGTTGTGTATCCAGTCCCAACGCCTGCCCATTTGTAAAGACGGATACTTTTTTCAGAAGAGAACAAAACAAGCGCCAGATTTGAAAATGATCTTTCAGAGATTGGGGGATGCCCCAAGTGAACCACCACTGGAAGCGATTAAACTTGCTTTTGTCCAGTGAGCACTGCTATGGTGGTTTCCCTACCTCAACCCCAGACTGCCAGTATCAAACCCTCAAGATGGAGACCCCAAAATCCTAAGGGATTCTATGCCACGAAAGCTTGAGAATCACTTAGTTTGCGTGATGGAAAATACTAATGAAATCAAGTAGAATATATTAAATACAGACTCAGAGCATCAGGTCAGCCTTTTGCCCCTTCCTCAGGCAATGGTCTTTTCTATCCATTGTGATCCTTATTTCTAACCTATCGTGTTGCTCACTGGGTTGGCACCAACTGCAAACATGTTTCACCGAAGTGTTGAGCCCCCAGAAGACGAAATAAAGGGAAGAGGCTGCTTGCACCGTTCTGAAATGGCATTCCAACATACCAGTGGTCAGTTGGCCACCACGAGGTGTGCTGTAGAAAAAGCTTGATAAACTCTTGGTGGTGTATCCACTTAAAGGATCTCTCATTTTCTGTCAATGACTACTAGGTTAGCTTAAAACCGATCCAAACTTGCACCAAACGGGGGTCCCCATTTGCATCCTGCTACTTCCCATCAACATACTCCATACTCCAAATAACTTTTAACATTCACTAGGACTTGAATCTAAGTGGAATTGCAAATTAGGTGGGAGCTGTGTTCCAAAAAATCAGCATATAAGATGAAAGTTGCGTGTGCTGGAAATCATCCAGTCCTGATTTCAAAGTGTTCCAAATAAGAGGACGGAGGAAGGAAGGTCTGGAAGGCCCATAGTCTCTTCCAGGGCAGATGATCTATGAAGGGAATCAAGCGCAGAATCTTCACTACAGCTATTTAAATGAGTTTTTGCCGCTGTGTGTTTTTCAGGATACAATGTTCTTGCATCGGATGCAGACCAAGCGCCACCGCCTGTCCTGCTCACCATCAGGCCTTAGAGGTGTGATGCCATTTGAACCTCAGCGGGCTTTTGCAAGAGTCTTGCTGGACATTTATTAAGGTCTCATTATAGAGGCAAAATGGATATCCTAGTAAGCCAACTGTTCACCTTTTGGAAACTGATAAAGCAAGAGTAAAAACAAAAGGGCTTTCCCAGTGTAGTCGTAAGCTCCGTGGTGGCTGGGACTTGGACTAGACCAGAGTGTGACCGCTCCACTGTACGGACGGTGCATGTGAGGCCACCATACCAGAGAGCCTAGGGATCAATGGTCCTGGCCCTGCACGACTTGCTGGCGGCTGCCTCTGCCTGCAGGACTAGCTAAATAGGGTTTCCCGGGAAGAGGGATCCAAGAGAGGCTCAAACACAGAGCCTTGTCCTCCGAGGACCCCTCCTCCTTCAGGCCAGGGGCATGACCACACCTTTCCTAGGAGCTCAGTACATTGCCAGTCTTGACTCAAGTACTTTCCAGACATCCCTGAAGTGTTCCTGGGACTAGTTGTAGGGTACTAAATTCCAAGATAATTTGAATCCTCAAATAGTCCTGCCCTAGTGCCCCAGTACCCACCCACCTGTAACCAAAACCAAAAATCCTGTGAAGGGAATATCAGCTCCAGGTTTGAGAAGCTAACTTGTCCCCACATTCCAGCTGACTCGGACCCAGGACATCTGAGTCCACAGACACTAGCATTCCCACTGCACCACAAAGCCTTGATCTTGGCTAAAAACTAGCCTCATAAAGGCTTTCTCTGCTATGAATGCAGACACATGAGCCTCGTCTATAAACCAGTACATCATGCTTTCCCTGGCGCAGCATCTCCCTCACTACTCATTCGCACTGTCATCTTGGTCATCTGCAGAACAACTGCCCTTTCCTTTTAAAAAGGAAAACTTGGGGGATGCCTGGGTGGCTTAGCGGTTTAGCACTTGTTTTGGCCTAGGGCCTGATCCTGGAGACCCAGGATGGAGTTCCCCGTCGGGCTCCCTGCATGGGGCCTGCTTCTCCCTCTGCTTGTGTCTCTGCCTCTCTGTATGTGTGTGTCTCTCATGAATAAATAAAATCTTTAAAAAAATAAATAAAAAGGAAAACTTGGTCTCTGCAAGAAAGGATAACCAGGATTTGCCACTAATAAAGATGTCCATAAAAATACAAAACATTAGACTAAAACTTTGCCACCTGTTACTGCTCGCTGAGGGCTCTGGCTCTGTTTGTTAAGAAGGAAAATCAGAGGGATTCACGGCACACCAGTACCAAAATGAGACTTCTTCCTTGGCCCAGGCAAGACAAAGAATCGGGGGAGCCTCATGTCTTGGGGTGACTTATGTTGCCTAATGCATGCCGAGGGGCACTGAAGAGCCCAGAGGGGCTCTGGCTCAGAGTGCTTCCCAGAAAGCCTTTACCCATCAGTGATGGCCTAACTCTCCGTCCCCAGTTGCAGACTCCTTTCTTATGAGACGGGACTCTCACTGGCAGGGAACAGGAAGGCCACCTCAGAGCGCTGGATAAAGGGGACACACAGGTAATGACTATGCTCAGTGGTGTGGGCAGGGGCTCAGGTCCTCTCTCCTTCCCTCCTGCCCCCCACGTGGCCACCGTCGTCCTAGGCAGGCACCCTGGTGTCCTAGGGTGCTTCCCTCACTATGGAGCAGGAGGCCTGACCTTGGAGCCAACTGGACCTTTCCAGAGCTTATCTCTGTGGCTGGTGGGCCTCGGTCAGAGCTGTCTCCTCGAGTCCCTGGGAGCCAGCATGACCCTGATTGGCTCAGATCAGTCAGCACCCGTCTCTGCAGCTGGGATGAACTCAGTTCAACACAAACCAGAAACCAACTCAAACCCAGTTCCAAACCACGCTCAGGAAGGTGGGAGGTGGACGTGGAGCCCCCTGTGCCTTTCCATCGAAAGCTCTCGTGCAGAATGTAAAACCAAAGGTGTGGTGGCTGCGAGGCAGGTCATCGCTGCAGATCTCCTGACTGCTCTTCCCCCAAAGCTCCAACGCAGGTTGAAAGCCCCTGGGGGGCTCCAGGAGGCGCCCTCCCTACCCCAGGGCTTCTGATGTGCGTGGTCCCGGGCTGGCCCAGCTGACTCCCCTGTGCGGCCCAGCCCGAGAAGCCGTGTTTTAAAGACACACACGTGAACGGGGCCTACAGCCCGGGCCGTCCCCGGAGTTACACGCTTGCCACCTGCGGCTTCCAGTGTACACCATTTATTCGCTTTCTCTGCGTTCAACAAACACCAGCTGCACAGCCTAAGAACCCTCATCTCTACACTCATAGAAGTGACCTGTGTGTAGGAACCAACTTTTTTAAATTGTTTTTAAATTATCCCTACACCCAATATGGGGCTCGAACTCACAACCCTGAGATCAAGAGTCACACACTCCACCCACTGAGCCAGCCAGGAGCCCCCACCTTTTTAAAGTAACTTCCACACCCAAAGTGGGGCTCGAACTCATGACCCTGAGACCAACAACCAGATGCCCCACCCACTGAGCCGGCCAGGTGGCCCTGCAGAACCCCGTGTGACACGTGCAAGCAAACACCTGG